GAGAACCACTATTTTAGATGAATTCTCTCTAGCTGTGAAATACACCTGAAAGTAACTAAGTGTCCAGTCTTGAAAGACTGAATGAATTTGATTGTGAAATGAGAGCTTATGTGTTTCGTCTGTCACATAAAGATTTCAGTCTATTTCAGAGAAACACTGTGCATCAGGGAGAAATAGGGTAGCTTTTTACCCAGAGAAAATGTGAAACCACATATCCCTCCCCCAAATTTATTCCAGGTGGAACAGTATTTTTTTTTAAAGATTTTATTTATTTATTTGACAGAGAGAGACACAGCGAGAGAGGAAACACAAGCAGGGGAAGGGGGAGAGGGAGAAGCAAGGGACCCCAATGCGGGGCTCCATCCCAAGACTCTGGGATCATGACCTGAGCTGAAGGCAGACGCCACCCAGGCGCCCCTGAACAGTGTTTTAAATCTCACTTTTCCAGGACTGTTCTATTCTACCTGCTCCCTTACTCTGTGGTTACCTGAAAATTTAAGTGACAGCCCTCCTGCATTCTTTTTTTTTTAAATTTTTTATTGTTATGTTAATCACCATACATTCTGGTAACTTCCTTACAGCTGAACACTCAGCCTGCTGGGTTCACTCAGATTTCTTACTGGTTTAAGGCAGTTAAAGGTCACTTGCCTCTAGCTAGCTCGTATAAGTTACAGTAGCAGAGAAAAACTGCCAGGCTTCTTTAATATTGAGGTAATAGCTTCTGTGTTCCTGAAATTTCATAAGCCTTCATGTTCTAAGAAATAGCAAGAGTTAGACAATTGAGTGTTAAGATTAAAATAAGTTGAGAAGAGGAAAAGGATGAGGTAGGTAGACAGGAGATTCTACCTCAATAAAAAAGTAACTTCCATTTTTAGATCAGGAAGCAATTTGTTCAGATTTTGCTCACTCTAGAGTGGCAGGCTTCCTTCCAGTGTAGAAGGATGCGGGAAGGGGAGTAACCATGGCAACCTGCCCAGCTACGTGGGCAAGCATAGGATGGGGCCGCACGCACTTGGAAGACTTTATTTCTAGCCCAGTCACTCAGTTTAGTATGGGTGGTCCCTCCTTTCCCACTTCCTTCTACTATAATGCTGACTTGGGGAAGAATGGCTCCCACTCCGTAGAGCGGAGGAGAGGGGGTGGAGACTTCAGTGAGACCAGAGGAGGTCAGCTTGACCAAAGCAAACTACAGGCTTCCAGGAGGAGAACACAGAGTAACTCCTTGTCTGTTCTAGCGTGAGCACAGCAAACACCCTGGCGTTGTTAATACTAAGTGCTTGAATGATTAGCAGTTTTCAGGTAGATGAGCAGTGCCCAATTTTGATGAAGAAATTCTCAACTCTGCCTTCAGTTTTCACAAAGACACATAATTCAGTTGTTCAGGGGGCAAAAATAAAACAAAACACCTACATTTCTAGGTCAGAGAGAACAGAGTATTCTAAGCATATTAGATTAACAATCTCCCCAACAAACTTGGGCTAGGTACTCTTATTCTCTCCAGATAAGGAAGCTTAAGAACAGAGGGGTTACGCAATTTGCCCGAGGTCACGTAAGCAACAGTGGTCTAGCTGGGATTTGAGTCAAGGCGGTAGGACTCACCCCACTACCTGGTTGTCCCAGGTGGGAGGCAGGAACTGGCATGAATTCTAGCCCTTTGTGTCCATCCTCGGCATCACCTGTTCCCTTCATCAAAAATAAGCATGGTTTTTGTAGAAGAGGAGACTGATGGCCCCCTCTCTGATTCACACGATGCAGTCAGGCTACGTTACCGTGAGTGAGGTGTCTGTGAAGCACAGCGAACTGCTGTCGCAGCTAGCTCACCTAGAGGGGACTTTGGCCCACCTCTGTGCAATTCAGTGGCATGGCTTCAACTTTAGAAGTACACGCAGCACCGGGGAGAATTTTAAAATGCCACACCCTATTACTCAGGTGTTTCTTATTGCCAGTGTATGTCTCGTTTTGATTCCTTGAGGAGGACAGAAAACCTGACGTGTTCGGTCTGTTAAGGGACACTCCCCCGCCAATCTGCTCTCAAGCCTTTCCATGGGGGGGAGGCATGTTCGGATGCCCATGAGGGCAAGTGGACACATGGGAGAGCTCAGTCTTCAGCAGCCTGCTCGAGCGTTTCAGCATCTTCACTTGTCTTTGAGAAAAGCATCAATTAAATCTCCAAGGCAGGAAAGATTGAGGGACAGAAACACATGATGCCTTCAAAACCATTCAGATAAAAAATATCAATGGTAGCAAGCTTAGGCTCACCGTAGAACTAGAAATGAAGCAGCATATACTTGCTGTGCCACCGAGAGCCCATGTATCCACAAAGCCTCCTGCTGGCCAGGAGACACCCAGCAAGGGATATGTCTTCCTGCTCTCTCAATCTTCAGATAATTGAGGCATGGCCAAGCAGGCCAATAAATATCACCTCCAACCATCTGGTCAGAAGTTTCTAGAAGTCCCTGTACCACCTTCATGCCAACAAGTGTCTTAAAAGAAATTCCCTCAATCCAAACAAGGTGACTAAGATCCAGTCAACCTTTTGAGTAAGACAAGAGAAAAACCTAATGCACAGGAATTTGGACTTTTAGTTGAATCTAAAACTGTCAAAAGTCTTGAGTGGAAATGCAGACTCTCCCTCAAAAGATTAGATAAGGCTTTTAACAAGTGCCATGCACGGCTCCCTTCCCTCTCCTAACATCCTCAGGTAAAGATCCAATTGTGTCCAAAACCAGAATGCCAACAAGATAGGTGTCATGGGGGAGCCTGGGTGGCTCAGTCGGTTAAGCGTCTGCCTTCGGCTCAGGTCATGATCCCAGGGTCCTGGGATCGATCCTGCTTCTCCCTCTCCCTCTTCCTCTCTCCCTGCTCATGCTCTCTCTCTCTCTGTATCTCAAATGAATAAACAAAATTAAAAAAAAAAAAAAGATAGGTGTCATGATTCAAAGGCGGAGGACATTCCACTAAGATCAATTGGTTCTGGTCATCCAGTAAAAATGTGTAGGAGGGTATAGCTTAAAGAAGAACTGGTTTCCAGGGCAGTTGTTTGGATAAGAAGGGACAGAGCAAAGAGTGGGCAGGGAAAGGGGAAGTTAAGTTATTCACCAACAGGGAAAAGAATCCAGTCTGCCTCAGGGGCAGACTGATGAGGAATTTAGAAGTAATCAGTCCCGGAAATACACATTGGAAAAGGCTACTAGAGCTCCTCCGTGCTTTCTCCAGCAGACTGTCCACATCGCACACTCCGTGTTGTATGAAGGGTGGCACCGAAAAGGTCCTTCCCCCAAAGGTTAAAGAGAGCTCAGTCCCAAATGCTTCTGAATTCTCAAGACAATAAACTTTCCTACGGTGTCATTGAGGCCTGTTTCCCTTCAAGGAGAGAGAGACAGAACCTGGGGTGGGAGGGGCACCAGGCCAGGGGAAAAGCAGCCTAATCATGGTCTGACTGTGGGTGTAAGAAGCACGCATGGAGTTGTTATAGACCCGGGAGATAAGCCATTTGGTAGCTGCAATGCTCCCCCATTCCCAGCTAGTTCCTCCCTCCCCAACAGCCAGTAGATGCTCCTGTGCGGGGAGCTAACCTCAAGCCTGTAAGGAAGATCAATTCTATATCCCATCAAAGCCATTCCGAGAGCCTTATCAGACATTTTTTTAAAGATTTTATTTATTTATTTGAGAGAGAGAGAATGAGAGACAGAGAGCATGAGAGGGAGGAGGGTCAGAGGGAGAAGCAGACTCCCTGCCGAGCAGGGAGCCCGATGCGGGACTCGATCCTGGAATCCTGGGACTCCAGGATCATGACCTGAGCCGAAGGCAGTCGCTTAACCAACTGAGCCACCCAGGCGCTCCCTTATCAGACATTTTGAAGGCATTTTTGTAGCTGCCTTCTTTCTTCAACCATTACTTCTGTTTGAGTTACTTCTGTCTTACCTCCTTCTCCCCCACTCCCCTGCTTTGCCTGATTAGGGCCAGAAATTTTTTTCATTAAGTCACTTTAGAGTGTAATAACATTTACTATTCATGAAGTCTCCCCTCCATAATTTTTAAGTCTTTCCATGTGTCTGGAAGCTTATTGCTGCTCTTCTCATTTTACAAGAGTGCCTGTCTTCCTTCCAAACACAAACTAAAAAGAAAGAGGAAAAGGTGGGGCGGGGGGAGGGTGGTTAAGGGTGTGGAGATAACATCCAGATTCTTTAAGTGCTTTTAATCCAGTTAAATTTCCCTTTGGACTCAAACAGCTCCCTGCTGACATTGACGGGGGACCGAATTCCAGGCTAGGAATTGAGTCAAGCAAGAGGAAAGGAAGCAGAGACGAATAACAGAGTCAGCTCTATGCTATGAAAACCGCTATGCTGACTGGGGCTCCATGGTTTTAACCCATTCATTTTTCCCCCCCTTTTCTAGAATTCTCACTTAATCTTTCCACCCAGTTTAGGGCGAGCAGGCCAACACCTTTTAAACGCTCCAGGGATTTAAGACAAGTTTGTTCAGTCTCTTGGGCAGATACTTTTTTAAGAATGCGGGTGTAAGACAAAGTTCACATTTTCATGCCACATGTTGTCAGTCATCAGGAACAAGGCTTCTCAGGGGCACAAACCGGGTCCCCAGCCTTTGTCACACGGCAAAAATAAACACCCCTGGAGGAGTTAATTAGGCGGTCAGCAGCCACACCAGCGTCCTACCAGGGTCGCCCGCAGAGCTTTTAAACAAGCGTGCGCGCGCGCGCGCGCGCACACACACACACACACACACACACACAAAGGGAGGCGCTTGTGAAATGTCACAAGCTGGACATCTGCCGCCGACCCCAGAGGTAAATGCAGTCCCTGGAAGCCTTCCTCGGATGTCAGGCCACAAAGCCGCGGTTTCCCCAAGTACAGTCTCCTTTCTAAGATTCGCGCCCCCCGCCCGGGTCCCAGCGCTGCACCCCAAGGGGGAAAAAGCCAAGAGGGGAGGAGATGGCGAAAAATGGAGCCAAAGGGAGGAAGGACGGGAAAGCGACTCACGGCTAGCTAGCGCCTCCGCGAAGCGAGCATGACTTCCCGCCGCCGAGCCTCCAGGCTGCCGCGCAGCCGACACGGCGGGCCGCGCTTAAATAGCCGCCGGCCGGGGAGCCGGGGAGCCTCGGAGCCGCGCGGCCACTCCCGGCGAGATATGGTTCTAATCAGATGCTGGCAGCCGAGGACTCCCCAGGAATGCGCCGGGATGTTTTTGCTGCCTGGGCTTGGTAACTCCCCCTCAACGTGTCTGCCGAGTCTTCCAAACTTAACTGTTTATTAACCCGGGCCGCAGCCACGCAGAGCGCCCGGCTCCCCTCGCTCGCGAGCCCCGCCAGCGGGGGGCGATCGCAGGGCCGGGTTCCCCCCACCCCGGCCGCCGGCCCCGCGGAGGAGGGACGAGGGACGGTGCCGGTCGGAGCCCCGGCCGCCGCGAGCTGGGGACGCGGGGCAGGGGAGGGGGCAAATAAGGACAGGAAAGGGAAACTCCGCAGGAAAGGGGTGGGATCCACCCGACCTTCATTTCACAAATTCCTTCCCCGGATTGCCACTTCAGTGATGTGGCACACGAAAGTCATCCTAACCCGTTGGGGCCCTCGGAACAAAGGGCTGCCTTCACTCCTGACTTTTCTGGCAAGAGGCAACGGATCCCAGCTCGGATCTGCTGTTTCTCCAGGGGAAAGTGGGATTGCCCCTTTGCAGGCGTTGCTCATGCGGGTGCACTTAACTTGGTGGGAACTCTGTGTGTGTACAGGTAAAACATACTGTATTTATGGAAGAAATAAAATCCTGATAGACAGATAGAAAACAATACTCTGAAATCGATGTAAACAAAAACGTTCACCCCTATATAACCTATCTAAATAAGCCGTGCCTCTGGTACAAAGATTATGTACTGACTTCCCTTCCGGTATGTACATCCCTGTGTAGACACACAACACGACTAGGTACACTGATTTCCACAGTGTTGCCTCCACCTCTAGGAGAAATAGGCAACATGAGAAATAAAATATTTGAACATATTGACACGCAGGGCTCAGCAGAAGGCACTCCATAGCACAGCTTCGTGAACCTTCACAAACTGGGAATTCATTTTCTCCATATTTTAAAATCATGAACGATTGTACAATATCCCCAGAAACTCTGTCCCTTTTAAAGAATTTTGAAATTACTTTGCGAAAAGCATGTCTATGTTCCTTTTATTTTATTTTATTTTTTTGAAGTTGGAGACAGTGTGTACTAAATGTGAACATGCCAAATTATGACTTGGATGAGAAGGGGTTATTGATTTTATTGAGTAAGCAACACACAGCAGATTTGCATTTTACCTCTGGAAACGGAGGGTTCAAATCAGGCTCATGGGACACCAAGGATGCATTTTGTGGTCCCAAGCCTAGCCCAACTGCAAAGCCGCTGTGTAATTTGGGGCAGCTCAGTGTGAGTGGCAGTCCCCGCTCTCAAGTAGGTCAGGCTTGGGACTGCCTGGGAGCCGGGGGCGCAGAGTAGCACAACCCTGTGATGGAGAGTGCCACCTCTCCTGGCCTCTCCGATTTCTGCCACCTGTCTCATCCCCTCACACCTGAGGGTGCTGGGGTGGGGACGGTGGTGCTGACAGTTTTCAATGTTCCTCTGAGGTAATTTGCTATTATCAAAAAAAAAAAAAAAAAAAAAAAGACTTCCTGTGAATGATAAGAGGTATGTAGACTTTAATCTTAGGACAGTATTTATAACATTTATGCAGAGAACTTTAATTCTGGTACATTTTAGGACATACTGCTTTAATTCTAAGACCCAGGAGTCCAGAAGGATGGTTGCACTTCCAAAGGCTGAAAAGCTGGACAAATGACAGCTGATTTCAGGCAAATAGAGGCATTGGCAATTTGGGGGAAAAAAAGGGGATTTCTCTTTTAACCTCAATAGGTAATATTTTCTCACCTCAGAAGTGACCACCCAAACCTATTTATTTTTTAATCAAAAGACTGTTACTAGAAATGTTAACATATGTTTGCTCTACCACATGGAAGGGATATATCTAAGGAGCCAGAGGGAGAAAATGATTTCATCTGCAATGAGCTGGAGTTTCAAGGGAAGACTTTGATGAAAACAGTCCATTTATGAGCAGTGGGCTCACACATACAGCTTAAAATAGACAGCTCTGTCATTTTACACAGAAATCTTAAGAGTCGACAGCGGAGAACTCTGATTTGAAGAGTGTTTTTATATCTCTAGGGTGCTGATATTGCTTCTGGCAGTAATTCAGTGTCCTGCTCACATTAAGAAAAAAAAAAAAAGCATGAAAAGAAATTTAACTCTTTTTATCTCTGATGGAACACAGTTTCCTGTCCCATAGAAGTCATTCACTTTTCAGGAGGTCTAAAGTGAACATCATTGCAGTTGGAGAATCACACCCAATCCCACCCAGACATTAACCCTGCCTAAGCGGTCTTTTCTTATCACAATTGAAATTAATGTTTAGCACATTAAGGTGAGGAAAATTCAATGCAATGTTTGAAAAACTATGGTCCTTGCATGACTTTCTCTTGCACAAAACCTGCCTGTGAGGAAGGAAAAAAAAAAAACACAAAAAAACAACAAAAAAAAACTGACGACTGTGTTCCCAGCCCAGGAAAAGGGTAGTTAATCCCGTGATGGTTTGCTGAAGAATGCATGGTTTATTATTAAAGTAATCTCTTAAGATTTTCCTGGAATGTGCTTCCACAGCAACTCTGCCTGTGCGAGCTATCCTATGTGTGTGTCTTTTCTTCCATAATTAAGCTGGTTTTCCCCCCTTTAGCTCACAGACCTAAATTGTTCTCTCTCCCTTCTCCAGCCCTTCTTCTGTCCCCCTCCCTACAGCTCCTGTCTCCCTTAAACATCCCATTCTGAATCCTGCCATTTCCCATGAACTGTAAAGGGCACTTCGGATGTGGTCCTAGGGGACTCTCTGTGCACCTTGATGCCTTGCTGGACACTTCCAGATGTTCCCATCAAACAAGGACTGGTTCACGTTTGTGGATCTAGCAAGGTCGCAGCTTTTCTTCTTCCTCCTCAGTGTCATAAAAATAAATGAAGAAAATAGCTCTTGTTCCCAGAAAATGTTCTTTGATCTTGACTTACCATATTTACAGACACAGAAAAACTGACCCTATCGGATTTGGCTGTTGGCAAGGCATGACAAATGTTGGAGGTTTTTCCTATCTATCTAATCCATCTATCTAAAATATTTGGAGGGTAGTCTTATTGAAGGCAGGCTGTTTTTCTTTTGTTTTGTTGGTTGCACCTGCAAAGCACCTCAGAACTCAATACTTACTATTTGCCAGTGATGTGTATTAGTAAAACTCAAACGGTACTTCGAAAATTGGGATAAAGTGAAGGACATTTAAAAATTCAATATGGAAAATTTATATAAGTAATTGCATTTTGCTACCAATACAAACTTTTATAATGAGAAGTTGTAAAGGGGAAAAAGAATACTCATATGAACTACTGGTTAAAACATCTTATTTGGAAAGCAATTTGAAAAGAGTGGTTAAAAATAAAAATACATATAAACCTACAAAATATCAATATTAATTATTATTGTAGCCAACACTTACATAGTTCTATAGCCTATGAATAAGAATCTATCCCTAGAAATAAAGCAAAGATGCTTATCACTGCATTGTCCATAGAGTAGGAACCTGGGAATAAATTTTGTCTGTCAATAGGAGAATGATTGAATAAGTTATGATTCATCTGCACTGTGAAATCATATGCAATCATTTAAAAGAATAAATTAGAGTCAAGCCTTGTAATATGGAAGGATTTCTAGGGATAGATTCTTGAGAAAAACCAGATACAGAAAAACATGTAAAATATGGTTCTGTTTTGGTAATATGAAAAGCAACACCTATCCATATAAGTTTGAGTGTGTGTGTGTGTATGAGTGTGTGTGCATAATTATAAGGGAGACTAGAGATTACTGGGAACCTCATGGAGATGAGAATAGACAGGAGAGGGAAGGGGGTAAGAGCTGTACAAAAAAGGAAAAGAAATTAAAATATTCTGTATGCAGATATATAGAGATCGCATTTGTGTATCTAATTGAAATGGTATATGCACAGGCTTGCATAATTTTTAAAAAATACACCAATTGATTTTAAGATAAGGGAAGAGAAGAGTTATAAAAGAAATCCATAAAATAGCTTTCACTGAGGTGTTTTCCTCAAGATCGTTCAAAAGTGAGTATTCATCAGTGTTCTCATGATCTAATTCAGCCGCTAGAACAATAGTTCTCAAACATTCATGCTCACAGCAGACATTCTGGGAGCTTGCTACAAGGGCGAATTCCTGGCCCCAGCCTGAGACCTGGACTGGAAAGGTGTGTAGGTGGGGGAGAGGGGCATGAAGTGCCTGGGAATCTATGTGCTTAACCAGCACTTCTGGGTGATTCAGATGCTGTAGTCCTGGGGACCGCACTTTGGGAAACACTGAGTTCTCCTGCAGTCAAGAGCATACTTATTCTGTTTTTCTCTGAGTGAGAAGAGCTCAGTGGGGAGGGAGCAGCTCAAGGATGATAGGAGGCAAGTGCCATTGGTCTTTAGACATTGGCTTTTCTCTCCCATTGGCTCTCTGCAGCTTCAGGCAGTGTCCTGGCTTTGATGGTGACTCTCTCCCTACCCTCTCCCCTGTCAAGACTTGTTTTCAGAGAAAGATCTGATATCAGCCATTTGCACTGACCTATACACAGGTATTTGCATTTCCAATCCTGTATCTTACTGAGGCACAATAGCCACACGTCTTTGTTAAAGAGATCTCAGTCATGAGTAAGAATAGGGACAGATCTTTTTCCTATTTGTGATCAGTTGGAGGCAATTGTCAACTCCACCATGCACCCAGCTTAAGGTTACCCAGAAAGAGAGAAGAATTATGTGACTTCCAGCTCCTGGGATGACCCTCTACTATCCCTGAAGTCATACTAGACCTTGGCTTCAAAGGGGCCATTGGAAAACTGAAACTGGATATTATGTACATGTTTACTTTTATGATATAGCAAAGGAAAGTGGGATTTAGGATCAGATCTGGGTGAAAGTCCTGGCTCCATCTCTTACTAACTGCAAGATTTAGGGCAAGTGGCCTAACTTCTCAAGGGCTCAGTTTCCTCATTTATCAAATGGGCATTCCCTGTCTTCGATTTTTGTTTTGGTTTTTGGTAGAAAACAAAGGAAATCATATTCAATGAGAAGAGTTTGAAGAATTTGAGACTATATGAATACTGTAAATTATGTTTAAATTATGGAAAAAATACATTACTAGAAAGGTGTTCTTGTCCTAAATTATTTCTATCAGCAAGAGAAGAAATACTGTCTAGTAAATCATGTGTTAGGTAACTATGCTCCTATGGCTGTGGTGGACTTTCTTAAGGCTGACTTCTCATGTGGAACAGTCCTGGACGCTGATTTTCTAGCAGATTCGTGA